TTGGTACTGGGGATCAAACTCAGGTCCTTATGCTTGAGAGGTAAGAGGCAGAACCACTGAGCTAAATTCTCAGCCCTCATTCTATTATTTCCTAAAAGTGCATGTATGCCTATAGAAAAAAGAAAACATTTAATTTTTAAAAGTACAGCTTGTCTAAAGCTGAACTCAAATTGAATGTGATTTCCCACCCCTAAGTCTGTTCCTCTTACTGTAATGTTTAATAAAAACAGGATATCCAGTCCTCCCAAGCACTGCCCCTGGGGTATCCCACGATTCTTCCCTCTCCTCACTGCTTCTCCATCCATCTCTAGACCTTTGGCAAATCTAGCCTGTTCTGCCCCCCAAAATGTCTCAAATACACTCTTCCCATCCCCTCAGCTGGCCCGTAACTCAGGGTCAGTTCTCCCAGCTGCCATTCTGGCCCCCTTCTGGTCTATTCTTGGAGCAACCAGGATGAACTTTATAAAATATACATCAGATCGTGCAGCTCCCCTGCTGAAAACCCTTTTTTTTCAGCTCCCCACTGATCCCGAGATAAAGTTCAGAAGCTTCATCGACCTGATGGAGGTGTCACCTCTAGCTGCTCCCCGACACTGAACCTCTATGCATCATGGGAGACCTCAGCTTTCCCCAGAGCTCTGCAAATGCAGTTCCCACCACCTAGGTTATGGGGATGTCCCTCTCCCCAGATCTCCACAATGCTGCTACACTTTCCTCACCCTGAAGGTATCACAATGCCCTAGGGACTGATTTCCCTTTATGCTTTTCAATTTATTATTTATTTATTTATTTATTGGTGCTAGGAACTGAATCCAGCATATGCTGTACCACTGAGATGCAGACTCAAATGATTTCCCTTTTAATTTATTATTCAATACATGAACTTTTCTTTTGAGGGGGAGATTTGAGGGGGGCTCTTCAACCTCCCGAGGCCAGTACAATCTACTTCCTGCTTGCACTGTAGCCACATACTCATCAAGAACATCCTTTAGTCTTAGAAGCTTTCTTTCTCTCAATAAATTTTTCCTACTCTTAAAAACAAAAACACAGCCTTGGGTCTCTATTTGCTCCAGGGTCTAGTCTGTCATGGCCCTGGGTCACTAAAGCTTTTCTTCCACCCAGATGCACAGCAGGTGCGGGAGGAGGCCCTCAGGGTTTGCTGTCTCCAAAAACCTACAACTTTGAGTTTGAGGGCCACCCTCCTTTCCAAGATCTTGCAGATCAAAGGAACGTCACTGTACAGTCTGGACTCCGTGTTTGCGAGTCTGGATCTAAGAGCACCACGCCCGGTACGGACCGTTTCTCGGTCTCAGTTTGTAAAACTCTGCCCGGCATGATGCACAGAGCAGGCGCCCAATGTTGCTGGTCCCAGGCTGTGAGCTCCCAGTCCAGGGCCTGCACACAGGTGGCGCCTCCTTTCCGGGTCTGCACCCAGCACGTGGCATACAGTTCGCTCAAGGGAAGTTCTTCGCGGCTAGGGAGCCTGGCTCGGTTGCTCTGGCCGCCAAGGTGCTGGCTGCTCCCGCACCGCTGACCGAGCCCCCAGTCCCGCGGAGCCTCGTCCTCACCCCGCAGTTCCCTCGGGAAACCCCCGGAGG